AGGCTGGGCAGGAAAGCCCGACTTTGTGTGGCAGGCCATTGAGTCTTGGAGAGAAATATCACACAGCCCAGCTCCTCCACGGAGGGCAGATGGCAAGATTCCAACCTGGGGCTTTCTTTTTTTTGGGGGGGGGGTCCAGTCGTGGGGCCTGAACTCTGGGCCTGGGCGCTGTCCCTCAGCTCTTCAGCTCAAGGCTAGCACTCTACCACTTGAGCCACAGCGCCACTTCTGGCTTTTTTCTTTTTGCTTATGTGGTGCTGAGGAATGGAACCCAGGGCCTCAGGCATGCAAGGCAAGCTCTCTACCACTGAGCCACCTTCCCAGCCCCAACCTGGGGCTTTCTGGGTGGGGGTGGGGGTGGGGCTCAGAATATGGGCTCTTTCTATGTATCTGCCACAGGGTCTTGGTCATGGCTGGTCTCCAAGGCCAGTCTATACATGTGTGAAGGAATCTACTAGCAAGTTGGTGTGAAGAGAAATTCGACCAGTCATGGGACTTGAACTCTGGGCCCGGGCACTGTCCCTGAGCTTCTTTTGCTCAAGGAAGGAATCAAACCCAGGGCTTCATGCCTGCTAGGCCAGCACTCTACCACCGAGCCACCTTCCCAGCCCTCCAGCTCTTTTTGAGTGCTTAATTGGAGAGGAGAGTCTCACAGATCCCCCCCCCCCGGCTCCGGCTGGCTTCGAACTGCAACCCTCAGATCCCAGCCTTCTGTGTAGCTAGGATTACAGGCGTGCGCACCGGTGCCCAGCTTTTAGCCCTTGGTCCTTGAGCCAGTGGGTGGCGTGCGATCTTTCTGTACCCCTGAAATACTGGGTGTGGTGGGCCCCAAAGGAGGAGGGGCCGGGGGGCTTCCTGGGATGAGCTGTGAGCTCATCTTAAATCATTTGTCCTTTTTGTTTGAGAGCAGAACTTGAACTCCGTGCCCGATGCTTTTGCTCGCTGGCTGGCGCTCTCCCACCCGTGCCAGGCCTCCAACCCCACATTTTCTTTCCAAGCATGCTACTAGGTGTCCTTTGACACCTACCTCATCAAGGCAGTGCTGACCTGAGAGATGGGGGGGGGGGGTGAGGGCGGGTCTGCCAGGGGTGGAGGACGGAGGAGGAAGTGACGGTTGCTTTCTTTGGCCTCCACTTCTCGGGACAGCGTGTGCCCAGGCAAGGCCGGACTGGCGCCTGGCCAGGACATTGCCGAATGGAGACTGCATCTGAATGAATGCCTCCTGGAAAAATTTCACTTGGCTCTGGCGGGAACCAAGCGTAGCTGGAGTGTGCGCATGTGCAGCTGTAACGGGAGCGTGGCGCGGCCGGTGGGCACCCCTCTGGCCTGGGGGTGGGGGCCTGTGTGCCCTCTTGTGCCAGGCCCGGGCCCCTCCACGCTTGATACTCCATAATGATGGAAATAATGAGGTGGGGAGGGGATGTCATACAAAGTACAGCATGTGCAAAGGCCCTGGGGTGACATCGAGCTGGGACAGAGGCCTCTGGGTGACAGACAGCGTGAGCAGAGCTGTTGGGTAGGGAGGAGAAGGCAGCCAACCAACCACAGACCTTCTAAGGCCGATCCAGGCTGTTGATAAATTTATCACCTTCTTATTATAGAAAAACTGGCAATACGGAAGTGTACCTAAATGAAAAACCATCACTAAGTCACCTCTGGTCAGGCCAAGAGGACACTGAATCCTTTTCCTATGTCCTTCAGCCAGGAATGGGAAGAGAAGTCTTACTTTCTTTTCTTTTTTCTTTTTTTTTGTGCAGTCCTGGGGCTTGAACTCAGGCCCTGGGTATTGTTTTTTAAGTTTTTTTTTTTTTCCTCTCAAGATTAATGTTCTACCACTTGAGCCACAGCTGCACTTCTAGCTTTTTGCTGGTTAAGTAAAGAGTCTCATGATCTCTCCTGCTTGGGCTGGTTTAGAACCGTAATCCTCAGATCTCAGCCTCCTGAGTAGCTGGGATGACGGGTGTGAGCCACCAGTGCCCAGCTTTCCCTACATAATGAGAAAACAAGAGGTTTAGGCAGCTGGTGACGCTGCGCTAGCATCTGAAAGATGCTGTGTCACCCCAGTGCCTTTGCATATTCTATCACCATACAACTTTTCCATTCTGGTCCCAAAAGAGCTGCCCAGCTCCGGACGTTACATCCGTATCCAGGATAGGAAAACAGAAGGGAGGGCAGAGGTGCTCGTAAGCCGTCTGACTCTTTCATTCTAAAATCAAAAGTTTCCTGTGCCCAGCCAACTTGGGCTTACATACCATTGGTGACAACCATGGCCCGCTCATGTCACACTCCAGGAAGGCTGGGCATGCCCAGGCCCTGAGTTCAAGCCTTACGACTGACACGCACGCAAAAGTAAGACTCCTGGCAGGGCGCTGGTGGCTCCCACCTAGCTACTCAGGAGGCCGAGATCTGAAGATCGTGGTTCAAAGCCAGCCCAGGCAGGGAAGTCCATGAGACTCTTATCTCCAATGAACCACCAGAAAACCGCAAGAGGGGCTGTGTAGCGCTCTAGGCTTGGGGAAAAAAAGCCAAATGTGATGGGCAGGGAAGGTAGCGCAGTGGTAGAGCGCTCGCCTTGCATGCACGAGGCCCTGGGTTCGATTCCTCAGCACCACCTAAACAGAAAAAACTGGAAGTGGCGCTGTGGTTCAAGTGGTAGAGCGTTAGCCTTGAGCTGAAGAGCTGAGGGACAGCGCCCAGGCCCAGAGTTCAAGTCCCATGACAGAGAACAACAACAATAATAATAATAACAGTAAGAGTAAGACACTAGGGGGAACTGACCCCTAGCCCCTCCCCCTCCCCATTTGCTTTAGTTATTTTTCAGGTAGAGTCTCCATTTTTGGACTTGGGGTAGGGGCAGGCTCAGATTGTAATCCTCTCACTCAGTTGAGATGCTAACTCCAGGTGTGCGCCACCCGATCGGAGCTGGTTGCTTAAGATGGGATCTTGGTAACTTTGTCTAGGCTGGCCTCCAAGCATGATCCTCTTGTGTTTCTGAGTAGCTGGGAATAAAGGCATGTGCCCACAGGCCTGTCCCCTTTCTAGCATTTCATGTTCACGGAATTCTATGCCTCAAACTCCTGGGGAGACTTAGTGTCAGGATGGGAGGCTCCGAGGGGGGTTAAATTGTGGGGGTGTCTTTCCCTCCTTCTCTCCTTCCCTCCCTCTCTCCCTCCTTCCTTCCTGCCTTCCTTCCTCTTTCCTGCCTTCTTTTTCTTTCTTTGTCTTTTCCCTCCCTCCCTCCCTTCCATCCCTTGTACTGGGGCCTGAACTCTGGGCCTGGGCGCTGTCCCTCAGCTCTTCAGCTCAAGGCGAGTGCTCTACCACTTGAGCCACAGCACCACTTCCGGTTTTCTGGTGGTTTATTAGAGATAAGAGTCTCATGGACTTTCCTGCCTGGGCTGGATTTGAACTGCGATCCTCAGATCTCAGCCTCCTGAGTAGCTGACAGGTGTGAGCCACCGGTGCCCGGCTAGTTGCAGTTCTTTAACCTCTCTTCCACCCACATGACCCTCTTTGTCCCCAGAGCGTAAATGAGGCAGGTGTATAGAAGTACGTGTGTGTTTAATAAGCTACTAATCTCCCTCCCCTCCTGCAAACACAGGTTCTATTCTAGAGAATGAGGGCTGGGTGCCCGTGGCTCACACCTGTCCTCCCTGCCACTCAGGAGGCTGAGATCTAAAGGATCGTGGTTCAAAGCCAGCCTGGGCAGAAAAGTCTGTGAGATTCTTATCTCCAGTGAGCCACCAAAAAGCCGGAAGTGGAGCTGTGCTTCACGTGGTGGGGAGCCACCAGGCCTTGATATCAACTTCCAGGACTGGGGTGATGGGGGTGAGGGGTGAGGGGGGGATTAAACATCTCATTCAAAGGCCTAGCATGGCTCCAGCACATAGTAGGCCTGCATGCCACGTCCCTTTCCTCTCCCCCATCAACATCACCACAGCGGGGGGGGGGGGGGGGGGGCCCTGGCTAATGTGAGTCAGCCAGGGGACAAGGCTCACTTCCTGATTGGTCCCATGCCTCCCGGCGCCCCAGTTTCTCAATGACATTCACTGCTGACTCACTCGGACTTGTGGTCAGCTCCGAAGCCAGGATCTTTTTGCCGTGCTCCCATAATTCCCCCTAGCCTCCAGCGTGGGTCTGTGGCAGGAGGAGGGGAGTCCTGATTAGTGTACCTCCTGTTCTGGCGACTGTTCCCAAGGACCAAAAAGGAGGGGAGGGGTTGTGTGTGTGCCTAGATCGATTCTATTTTCCCACCTGCAACATAGCCTGGTCCATCAAGGTGGCTAGTCTCTATCTGGTGCCTGAGTGAATTGAACTGGTCTCTGTCTTCCAAGGGATTCCTGCGTGCTTCAGGGCAGCTTCATTTGAAAAGTGAGTGAGTGCTTGGTGCCAGTGCTCATGCCTGTAATCCCAGCTACCCAGGAGGCTAAGATCTGAGGATCACGGTTCCAAGCCAAGCCTGGGCAGGAAAGTCCCTGATCTGACATTCTTATCCCCAATGAACCACCAGAAAAGCAGAAGTAACACAGTGGTTCAAATGGTAGAGCACTGGCCTTGAGCACAAAAGCTCAGAGACAATGCCCTGGCTCCAAAGTTCAAGCCCCACGATCAACCCAAAACCAAAAATGCTAAGTGAGATTCTACCTAGCATCTCCCATTTGTTTGTTTGTTTATTTGTGCTAGTACCAGATTCTAAGCATTTATTCCTTCATTTTATTCATTAATTTTGTGTGTGTGAGTGTGCACGCTCACGCATGTGCCAATCCCGGGGTTTGAACTCAGAACCCGGGCACCGTGCCTAAGCTTTTTCCACTCAAGGCTGGCGCTCTACCACTTGAGCCAGACCTCCACTTCCGGAGATGGGGGGGGGGGGGGCCTTGGAAGGCCAGTGGGCGGAGCCTAGGGGGGAGGGGCGACCTGGGAGAAGAACTTCGCTTCCCTGACCCCCGTAGCCTGCGCTTTGTGCCCACCACACTCATGCTCTCGTCTGTCTACCGCAGGTTTGACATCTACAGGAAGGTGCCCAAAGACCTGACACAGCCAACATACACAGGCGCCATTAGTGAGTAGCGACCCTTTGACACCTCCCCCGCTTCCCTTCCTGCATGTGCCCCTGGGTAGCTGAATTCTGGAAAGAGAGGGAGGGAGGGCATCGTGAACAGTTGCGATTTCCGCATTGAATGCCGATGCTTATTGCACCCCATAAGAAGACATCATGCCTAATAAGCAAGTGCTGGACCACTGAGCCCCAGAGCCAAAATACTTGGGGTGCCAATGTGTGATCACAGTGCCAAGTTCACCCCTGGCCCCGCGTGGTGCGTTCACAGCCAAAGCACAGGGGCACTAAAATTGTCACGCAAGCTGGGTACCGTGTCTCAGCCCTGGAATCCTGGCTACTCAGCAGACTGAGATCGGAGGATGGAGGAAGAGAAAGCCCACAGCCCCAGCTGCCATGGACGGAGGAAATGTTGATCAAGCAGAGCTCTGGGGCCAGGCCAGGTGCTGGCACCAAACCCACTGACCTTCAGCTTTGTGCTTGAGAATGAGGCAGAGCAGGCCTGACCCGCACCCACCATGGCACTGGCTTATGATGCTAAGAAGAACGGAAGGGCAGAGGAAGGTGACCGCAGCTCGCACACCACTTGGGTTGGACCTCCTTCACTCACAGCAATGTGACCTTCAGAACTCTCTCAGCTCTAACCAGTATTCATTCCTGTGGTTCCACGTGTCTGAGAACCTCAGAGCCTTGCCCAAACAAGGACTGAAAACCTTTATATCCAGCCAGGCATGGTGGCTCATGCATGTAATCCCAGCTCCTCAAGGAGGCTGAGCTCCGAGGATTGTAGTTCAAAGCCAGTCTGGGCAGGAAACTCCATGAAGCTTGAACCCAGGGCCTAGCCACTGTCTCTGAGATGTTTGTGCTCAAGGCTAGTGCTCTACCACTTTGAGCCACAATGCCAATTCTGGTTTTCTGGTGTTCATTGGAGATAAGAGTCTCACAGATTTTCCTTCCCAGGCTGATTTCAAACCATGATCCTCAGATCTCAGCCTCTTTGAGTAGCTAGGATGAAAGGCACGATTCCCTGGCACCCAGCTCCATGAGATTCTTAGTCTCCAATGAACCAGCAAAAAGCTGGAAGTGGAGCTGTGGCTCAAGTGGTAGAGCAACTAGTCTTAGAGCAAAAAAATTCAAGGACGGTGCTCAGGTCCTGAGTTTTCAAATCCCAGTGCCTGTACCAAAAAAAAAAAAATACATTAATGTATTAAAAACTAGGGGCTGGGAAGGTGGCTCAGTGGTAGAGCGCTTGCCTTGCATGCATGAGACCCTGGGTTCGATTCCTCAGCACCACATAAGCAGAGAAAAAAAGCCGGAAGTGGCGCTGTGGCTCAAGTGGTAGAGTGCTAGCCTTGAGCTGAAGAGCTGAGGGACAGCGCCCAGGCCGAGTTCAGGCCCACGACTGGACCCCCCCCCCCCAAAAAAAAAATAAAACTAAATATGTATTAACATGTAATATTATATAGTTTGTTATGTAATGTATTGATGTGAAATGCTGTTTATTTGCAAATATTTGCATATGTTAATGAATATATGCATATTTATATGCCCATGGGAAACCCATAAGACTGGCAGTGGCCTTGGGGCAGACTCACACAGGAGACTGTTAACTGGGTTGTTTTTTTTTTTTTTTTTTTGGTACCAGTCCTGGGCCTTGAACTCAGGGCCTGGACACTGTCCCTTAGCTTCTTCACTGAAGGCTGGTGCCCTACCACTTGACCCACCCCCTCCACTTCTAGCTCTTTTTGCTGGTTGATTGGAGATAAAGAGTCTCACTGATTTTCCTGCCTGGGCTGGCTTCAAACCTTGATCCTCAGATTTCAGCCTCCCCAGGAACTAGAATGACAGGTATGAGCCCCCAGCCCCTAGCATGAAGACCTATAGGCAAGTCCCTGCCACTCTGTGTCCTAGGTCCCCCAAGCAGCTTTGTTCTGAAGCGAGGGCGTGGTGGGGGGCACCAGGCCTCACTGATCCCGTGTCTTCCCTTGTAGTTTCCGTCTGCTGCTGCCTCTTCATCCTCTTCCTCTTCCTCTCGGAACTGACGGGATTCATCACGACAGAAGTGTAAGTCATTCTCCTCCCCTTTCCCTAGAGGAAGAATGTGTGTGTGTGTGTGTGTGAATATACATACATATGTATGTATATATTTTAATTATCTTTAAGACTAGGCCTTTGTGTCTCATGCCTGTCATCCTGGTTACTCAGGAGGCTGAGATCAAAGGATCACAGTTAAAAGCCAGCCTGGGCAGGCAATTCCATAAGACTCTTTATCTTCAGTTAACCTCACACACACAAAAAAAGGGAAACAAGAATCTGGAAGTGGTGCTGTGGCTCAAGCAGTAGAGCACCTCAAGCTAAAAAAGCTCAGGGACAGCGCCCAAGTCCTGAATTCAGATCCAGGACTGGCAACACAAAGCAGCACAAAAATCACCTTTAAATAATTATCCAAAGAGGTTTCCAGTCAGCATGTCAGTTTATGACCCCAGTGTGTCCCGATCATGGTCACCCCTGCCATCTTTCTCCCCCCATCTCCCCCAACCCTCCTCATGTCCTCAAGCGACTCATCCATTTCCACTTATGCACATTGCATATTATGACTGAATTTGCCCACCCTTCCTCCCTCCATTCATCTCCCCCATCTCCTTAGCTAACTGTAAGTATATGCATAGGGCCCTGGATATGCGTTCATCTGTGTTTATAATGTAGATCTAACTTCCATCTATGAGAGAAAACGTGCCCTTTTTCTCTCTAAGCCTGACTTAATTCACTTGACATAATTTTTTCCTGGTCCATCCAGTTGAGAGAGGGAGATACAGAGAGAGAGAGAGAGAGAGAGTTGATCCTAGGGCTTGAACTCAGGACCAGGGTGCTGTCCTTGAGCTTTTTTGCTCAAGGCTACTGCTCTATCTTAGCCTTCTGAGTAGCTAGCATAACAGGCATGAACCACCAGTGTCACTAATGAATGAAACAGGTTTTTTCTTGTTTTGTTTTGTTTTGTTTTGTCAGTCATGGGGCTTGAATCTGGGCCTGGGCACTGATCCTGAGCTCTTCAGCTCAAGGTGAGCACTCTACCCACTTGAGCCACAGCACCACTTCTAGCTTTTTCTGATTATATGGTACTGAGGAGTTGGACCCAGGGCTTCATGCATGCTAGGTAAACACTGTACCACTAAGCCACATTCCCAGACCTCTGTGAGACTTTTATCTCCAATTGAATACCATAAGGGTCAGAAGCGGAGCTCAGGCTCAAATGGTAGTAGGCCAAGCCTTGAGTGGAAAAAGCTCAGGAACAATACCCAGGCCATGAATTCAATCCCCAGTACCAACGCGCACACACACACACACACACACACACACACACACACACACACACACTATTAAGCAAAATTGGATGTGGTTTGTCAAAGCAAAAGAAGATGCTTGGGTTCTGTTCTTCGGGGGTAGGGGTGGGGTAGGAGGGTAGATCCGTGGATGGATGGAAACCCCTTGTTCATCTCTGTGTTTGGCCAGTGGACTTTTTCCCCTCTCAATCATCTCTGTGATCTGGAATTGCCAGAGGCTGGGTCAGCGCCTCTGACTGGGTGCCCTCCACAAGCCTCTCTCCCTGTTTCAGGTCCACCAGGGAGGGTGGGAGAGTTCATGTGGGCTTCTGGTTGCTGGCGTTGTTCTTTCTGTAGCTATGTGAGACACGGAATGCCATTGGCATCTGGTCAGCCTGGCTTCCACACTGCCCCTGAGATGTGGGCGAGCAGACCCTGGAGCTTCCTGCCTTTGGCACTGGCTTCAGACTTCAAAGTTGCTTCTTTGCTGTGCATACAATATACAAAGTCCCCTGGGGAGCCAACCACTCCCTCTCCTGTTCAGCACTGAAATTTTCTTTTCACACTCAGGAATTTGTGTGTGTGTGTGTGTGTAGTGTGTGTGTATGTGTGGTGTGTGTGTGTGTGTGCATGCTGGTACTGAGGTTTGAACTCAGCGCCTGGGCACTATCTCTTAACTTTTTTTCTTCAAGGCTGGCATTGTACCACTTGAGCCATGCCTCTACTTCTGGCTTTTTGATGGTTCATTGGAGATCAGAGTCTCTCAGACTTTCCTGTTCAGGCTGGCTGGCCCATAATCTTCAGATCTCAGCCTCCTGAGTAGCTGGGATGACAGGCGTGAGCCACCAGCAGCCATCAGTCTGTTCCCCCGTTGTCCCCATCCCCCCAGGATTTTCAGCCTGGGTTGGGTTGAATCTGTGGATTCTGGAACCTTCCTGCAGAGAGATCTGACTATTAATCATGAGAGTGATAAGTGCTCTGAATACAGAAGCCAAGCATGGGAAGACAGGAGGAGCCAGACAGTAAGGGTGCCTGGTGATATTTTGCAGGAATGACACTGGGTTATTTAGCCCAAAGGTCCTTAACCTAGTGCCTGCTGGGCTTCAGTATTTGTCAGTCTCTGTCTCACACAGTTGTTCATTGCCTATGTTTTTCTCCTATTCAACTTAAAAGCATGCTCTCAGATTGCTCTGTACCTGGAGTGTAATACGTACGTGGTGAATGCTCATTTCCTTGTCCCCTCCCTGGGAGTTAAGAACTGGCTCCCCTGGCCTCCCACTAATAACCCTGAGGGAAGCATTAGTCATCTCAGGTGCTGTGAGGTTGGGTTTTGACGTCAGAGCTTGGGGCTTGAGCAGTTGGGCCCCCACCTTCTGAGTGCCTGCCAGTGCTACGGTGTTATATGCCTGGGCTGGGCCCCTAGGGCAAACCCTGTACTGCGTTTGTTGCTCACTCAGGATGGGGCTGCCTCCTTTCTCCCAGCACAGTGTGTTCCTGACACTCTCCAGCCCAGCTCAGGCTTCCTTTTCCTGGTTCCTGGGACCTCCTGGATGGTTCGATCCCACAGCATCCTGGGATGGTTCGATCCTGCGGCATCCTGGGATGGTTCAATCCCGTGGCATTCTGGGGAGGGGTTCCATCTGGAAGCATATCAGAAGAGGAAGGGGAGGAAGAATGAGGAGGCAGAAAAGCTTAGCACCACAAATTGAACATCTGCTTTTGGTTTGCTAAGCCCTGGACCTCCACCATTCGTCATGGAGGAGAGGCTTGTTGTAGGTCCTGTCCATCTCCTGTCCATCTGCATCTTCATAGATGCAGAGATCCTGCCTCCTCCATCCTTCCCGAGGCCTCCTAACCCTGATCCAGGAATTGCCCATGGGATTTGGCAGGGGCTGACACTGTTTTTCAGTTTGATGGAAGGGGATCATCCCTTGGGGCTTTTAACATTTGTAGATGTTTCTCTGATCCCAGGAAAGCATGCAGGTTTGGGGAAAACCTAAGGTAACCATTCTTTTTTCTGTGGGTGGCCAGCTCTCTCTGGTGGTCTCTGACGTCCAGCCCCCTCGTCCCCCTCCTTGCCCAGAAGAATGTAACCCCAGGAAATGAAGTCACTGCTGCTGGTTGGATCCGAGTGACCACTGCAGCCCGGTTTGTGGTAATCAGTGACATAAGGTGCTTTTTCTGGCCTAGCCCTGTGGAGAAGGGGTGTTTGTTTGGGCAGCTGAGTTTTAGCCTGGGCTTTGGACAGGCTGGTGATTTATCCCAGGACAGCGGCCTCACAGGACATTCAGAAACTCTTGTTTCCAGGGAGGTTCCTCCCCCCCCCCCCTTCTTAGAAAAAGGTAGCCGCAGAATGTTCTAGCCTTGACAGCCCAGGCTCTGACAGCTCTGACTAATTATCAGTCTGATGTGGCATCATAATAAGTTGATGGAGCAGATGAACCCACCAATGATCATTTTCCACACAGTGTTTTTCTTTTAATCATTATTATTTGTGTGTGTGTGTGTGCGCGCGCGCGTGTGTGTGCGAGTGTATGAGTGTGTGTGCACACGCCAATATTGAAGCTTGAACTCAGGTCCTGACCTTTTCTGCTCAAGGCTGGCCCTCTACTACTTGAGCCATACCTCCAACTTTTGCTTTTTTAACTGGAGATAAGGGTCTCATGGATTTTCCTGCCCAGGCTGGGCTTCGAACCATGATCCTGAGATCTGAGGCTCCTGAGGAGCTTGGGTGACAGGCGTGAGCCTCTGGCACTGTGGCTGGTATTTATTTATTTTTTTAAATAAGGGACTGTGTGCTAGATTAACACGCCCTCACTGCATCTCACACAACTGCCACAGAAACCCTTGAGCTTGCTGTGTTACTGTTGGCTCCTGTTTAAAGCGGGGGAAACTGAGGCACCAAGCGGCTAACATTTTATGAGGTTAGCAAGTAGTCCAACTGGCATCAAACTCAGATCTGTCAGATACCAAGCTCAGTTTGGACTCCTGGCTTGTCGCCCTGCCGTCATCTGCCCTTGGCATACTTCGTGTCCCAGATCTGTGGGAATTGGTTAGAAAGATTAACTGGAGGACTTCGGTGCTCCATCTGGGGTTGGATGGCAGGCAGGCCGGGGGATCCCCAGCAGTAAGAGCTTGTTTGTACCATGTCCCCTCCCAGGTCTCCTTAGCAGGACCAGACAGGGGAGACCCAATAGGTTAGCCGAGGGAGGGGCAGGAAGGTCCTCTCCCGGCCAAGCTTACCTATTGTGAACCTTGCTCGTGGTCCAGTGCTGGGGGGGGAGGGGGGGTCGGGGATGGTCATGATGTCCCAGCCCAGAGCATCAAGGATCTTGTGGATGGAGGCATGTCTTGGGCCTGGGCTTTGGTCAGGAGCAGGGTGATGACCAAGGCTGAGGACATGAAAGGGTTTTGGAGCAGAGACAAAGCAGTACTGGGTGTCCATGTGCTCACATACATATGTGTGCGCACATGCATGCGCGCTGGTATTGAGGCTTGAACTCAAGACCTAAGCCCTGTCCCTTACCTTTTCAATCAAGGCTGTCCCTCTGCTGCTTGAGCCACAGCTCCACTTCTGGCTGTCGGAGACAAAAGAGTCTCACAGACTTTCCTGCCCAGGCTGGCATCGAACCGTGATCCTCAGATCTCCCAGCCTCCGGAAGAGCTGGGATGACAGGCCTGAGCCACCGGCGCCCAGCATGGATGCACTTTCCCTGGCTGGGAGATTTAAATTCTAGGTTCCAG